TTGTCAAAAGCCACACTTTTGTTGGGATTGGGGGTTTCAAACCAAGAAGCAGGGTGTGGATTCTTTTGGGGCACCCCATTTTTTGTGGCGAAATTTAATGTTAATTTCTAACAAAGCAGATGTCTGTTGATCAAAATCATCACACATTCACTCATTTCACAGTGTAAGTTCAGCTTCATTGTTTAACAGAGAAACAAATGAATTAGCGATTAACAATGTCAACTCTTTGAACTTTCAGCTCACTGACAGCACCATTTCTGATGGCATACAACACTACAGATCATGTGTATTACTTGAAGCAGTATTCAGAGATAAAAGATGAGCTTACAGAGCAACAACTTGCATCTTTTCTTCAGGATGTGTTGGAGGGTCGTGCAAAGGTAGGTTCAGTGATTTGTGGCCAGGTGGTGGAAAGAAAAAAACATGAATTCAAAGAGTTATTTTTTTGTCATTTAGAGACAAAGTGTGGGACCTCGAAGAGTAATTAAATGTACACGTATTTTGTGAGCATGCAAGTGTGTGTTAAAAAGCAAATTTGTGATATACGTGGTGTAGCTATAGCAATGCAAGTAGTGTAAATATTGTATTGTAAAGTAGTGTAAGTATCTTAAGGTATTTAGTCATGTAATGCAATGTAAGTAGTGTATTTCGTTTGATTATCTCAATATAGGTAATGTAAATATTGCATTGTAGTGTTCTTTGTGTAGAAATAAAAAAAAGAAAGAAACATAGTTAATAATAAATTCTTCTCATCAATTAAATATTATTTTTTTAATTTTTAGGGATATGGGGGAGACTCATATTTCCAAAGGTTTTACATGGTAAGCTGTGGTTTGGATAATTGCAAAAATATTGAAATGTTTATCTACCTCAGTGTTTTATTTTTTATTAACAATATTGATAAATATTATTATCTCTGGCTCTTTTTTTGTTGCAGGGAATTTGGGAACTTCTGAGATCAATTTATGTAAGTCTATTTTTTCATTTGACAAGGTTTATCTGTTTTTGTTCATGTAACTTACATTATAGACTGTGTAAACATCAAGGGCATTTGTGACTTACAGAACTTAGAAAGTTGTTCTCTATTAATCATACATGAGTCCAATTATTGTTCTTTTATGCAACCCCTGCCAGTTATGTTCACCATCACTAAGCAAAATAAAAGCTTGATGCTATTGTAAAAAGAAACGTGTGGACCTCACAATGGAGCTAAATACTTCCTTGTGTAAACAATTTGTGCAGTTCCAGAAAATATCCATANCTAACAAAGCAGATGTCTGTTGATCAAAATCATCACACATTCACTCATTTCACAGTGTAAGTTCAGCTTCATTGTTTAACAGAGAAACAAATGAATTAGCGATTAACAATGTCAACTCTTTGAACTTTCAGCTCACTGACAGCACCATTTCTGATGGCATACAACACTACAGATCATGTGTATTACTTGAAGCAGTATTCAGAGATAAAAGATGAGCTTACAGAGCAACAACTTGCATCTTTTCTTCAGGATGTGTTGGAGGGTCGTGCAAAGGTAGGTTCAGTGATTTGTGGCCAGGTGGTGGAAAGAAAAAAACATGAATTCAAAGAGTTATTTTTTTGTCATTTAGAGACAAAGTGTGGGACCTTGAAGAGTAATTAAATGTACATGTATTTTGTGAGCATGCAAGTGTGTGTTAAAAAACAAATTTGTGATATAAGTGGTGTAGCTATAGCAATGCAAGTAGTGTAAATATTGCATTGGAAAGTAGTGTAAGTATCTTAAGGTATTTAGTCATGTAATGCAATGTAAGTAGTGTATTTTGTTTGATTATCTCAATATAGGTAATGTAAATATTGCATTGTAGTGTTCTTTGTGTAGAAATAAAAAAAGAAAGAAACACAGTTAATAATAAATTCTTCTCATCAGTTAAATATTATTTTTTTAATTTTCAGGGATATGGGGGAGACTCATATTTCCAAAGGTTTTACAGGGTAAGCTGTGGTTTGGATAATTGCAAAAATATTGAAATGTTTATCTACCTCAGTGTTTTATTTTTTATTAACAATATTGATAAATATTATTATCTCTGGCTCTTTTTTTGTTGCAGGGAATTTGGGAACTTCTGAGATCAATTTATGTAAGTCTATTTTTTCATTTGACAAGGTTTATCTGTTTTTGTTCATGTAACTTACATTATAGACTGTGTAAACATCAAGGGCATTTGTGACTTACAGAACTTAGAAAGTTGTTCTCTATTAATCATACATGAGTCCAATTATTGTTCTTTTATGCAACCCCTGCCAGTTATGTTCACCATCACTAAGCAAAATAAAAGCTTGATGCTATTGTAAAAAGAAACGTGTGGACCTCACAATGGAGCTAAATACTTCCTTGTGTAAACAATTTGTGCAGTTCCAGAAAATATCCATA